TCAAGTTATTTATTTACAAGTTATAACCGACTCCTTTTATCTGTGTCCCAACTTTAATGTTGAAGTTGATGATCGACTGTATCAATGTATGTACTACTTGCACCGACTTTTGTAATTTATATCTTTTATATCGATTTTTTGTAGTGCACTTGTATTGATTTAAAAAGAAAAATTCCTCAAGGACCCAAAATATGGGACCAATAGAGGGGACAAGTGAGGTGTTCCCCTCCTATTGGATAATGAGTTGGTCATCAATGATGACCAACTCATTATCCAATAGGAGGGGAACACCTCACTTGTCCCCTCTATTGGTCCCATATTTTGGGTCCCTGTAGCAAAGCTCATTTAAAAAACTAATAACAGAGCACATATCACAATGTCCTTCTGTTCGATATGATTTTCTATTATAATGTACGATTATTTCCCCCCAACTAATGGATTCAAAATTGCTGATTGTACAGTTACTTCTATGCATGTGGCTCTATAATAACCCTGTATACTTGGACCCAACCTGCAGGCCAACTTGCAAATTGTTGAAAGTCTTGTATATATGTATCAAATGTAGCACCCAAATACCTGGCAAAGCTAAAATTATAACCACGTACGCGTTTACTTCAAAAAGAAATTATCACCACGTTGCATTAATCATGGCTAAACTAAATTTTTCCCAGTCAAAACAAAAGGATTTTAAGACCATGGGCAACACTGGAAGGCGCAGTACTGTATATATAGTCACATGCAAACATTTAAGGCAAAAGGGAATTTATTACTGTTGAGAGTGCATTGATTCATTCGTTTGCAACACTTGGATTTATGTGTTTATGCGTCCAACTCAAAACTCTCTGGCAATTTTGATAATTTATTATTGGATGTCATATCTGATAAGTGTCGATCTGCATGTTCTTCGTGTCCATGTATTTATGACTCCCCTTTTAGTTTCTTTTTCGATCCCCAATTGAACTAAAAAACAATGCTAATATAGTGGAATAATCAGACTGCAGGTTGATGGCAGGAAGACAATAAGGAACTTTGATGGTTTCATCCTCTCTTATTGCGCCCTGCGAAGGAGTGAAAGAAATCACGACCTTATTATGCTAGTGAAAAGAGTTTGCTTAATGGAAAGTAGGGTAGATTTAGTTGCGTTCAAAATAAACTACGTTGTCATTTACATAAGAGTAAATTTGATAGGTATGACATGATTCTCTTGAATCTTACTTGACGTGTCGTTGATGTGACACACATCCAAACCATTACAATATAGATTGTCAATATTTTAATCTATATTAAAGTTAATGGTTTATACGTGTATCACATCGGTCATCAGCCAGCATATATATGTTTACTACTTATATTATTAATTAAAGAGGTTCCAAATTCTAAGAAATACGTTTATTTGCGGTGATTATATATAACATCAAGGCCTACTAACAATCTTAGTTCATAGCTAGACAACGAACTACCTTTGCAAAGTTGCAACCTTTTACAGTTAGGAAGCGCTCATGTGCCAAAGGTGACATTGAAATGAGAACACCTAAAATAATGATGCTTTAAAAGCACAAGGACTTAGAGTAGTTGATAAAGCACAAAGAAGCAATAAATTTGAAGGCACCCATTAATTGTTTAGAGAATTTTCTCTTGTAACTTGGAAAATTTGTGTGCTTGCGTCCACTTGCTACTACTTTTATTACCTTTAATTTAATACCACACAAGCATTAATAGTTCACTGTTTATAATTGCAGTGGGGGGTTGAACTGCAATTGTGGGTTACGAATAACGTCTTTAATTGAATCTGATATAAAAATCCAAAGATAAATAAAAGTAAAGAGTCAAGTCAATGTGACTGGAAAAAAAACATAAGGGTAAATTAAAATTTCACAAATTAAACCCGGCCCTTATAATATTTTCATATATTACATTATCCCTTGAATTATTCAGTACTAACTACAGTCTGATGATTTGTCAAACATCAAAGTTACATTTTAGCAACTACCCAGTACATTTAGTACTGAATGAAGTAAGTATTGTGCATATCTTTGTAAGGCAAACCAAGTTTTAGTTTAAAAAAACGTCACTAATTCAACACCTATACATTGGAACCTAGTAGGAAGATGTTATAAGCAACATAGGGGCTGTTTGGTTGTATGTTTTTACCATGTAAAAGGATGGAAAGTGTAAAAAAATGGGTCCCAATGTCAGCTTTCATCACTTTCAATTGTTTGTTTGTAGTTGTGAAAATAATGTAAAGTGATTTCATATGCTGATGTGGCTTGTAAAGTGATTTCATAAAAAAAAAGACATGATTTTAGGAGAAAGCTGACATTGAAGTCAGGAAAAAATAATAAAAAATAATTCCAACCAATATGATCATTTGAGTAAGGACCACTTTTTACACTTTTCAAACAAACAATTAAAATTACATTTACAAACCAAACAAGCAATTTATGATTCCAATGGAATCAAAAACAAACAAAGAAAAATATAAAAGTAAAATTGATGAGGTGGACAACAACTTTCCAAGTTGTGTCATAAATACACAACTTTACCAACAACCAAACAACCCCTTAAAGTTACATTTACAAACCAAACAAGCAATTTATGATTCCAATGGAATCAAAAACAAACAAAGAAAAATATAAAAGTAAAATTGATGAGGCGGACAACAACTTTCCAAGTTGTGTCATAAATACACAACTTTACCAACAACCAAACAACCCCTTAAAGTTACATTTACAAACCAAACAAGCAATTTATGATTCCAATGGAATCAAAAACAAACAAAGAAAAATATAAAAGTAAAATTGATGAGGTGGACAACAACTTTCCAAGTTGTGTCATAAATACACAACTTTACCAACAACAACCAAACAGCCCCTATATGTGAACGACGTGAGCAGGCCCACGAAGAGAAGGCCCACCCACATGTTCTCAAGGATTCCAATGCTATAAATATGAACGTGGCGGTTAAGTTTTTTCTGCAGGGGAGAAAAACGAGGTAAAAACAGAGGGTTTTATTTAGGAGCTTTGCTACAGGGACTCAAAATATGGGACCAATAGAGGGGACAAGTGAGGTGTTCCCCTCTTATTGGATAATGAGTTGGCTATCATTAATGATGGCCAACTCATTATCCAATAGGAGGGGAACACCTCACTTGTCCCCTCTATTGGTCCCATATTT